TCAGCTCTGGCCACTGTGGCCCTTTGGGGAGTGAACCAGCAGATGGAAGACCTCTCTCTCTCTCTCTTTCTCTCTCTCTCTCTCTCTCTGCCTCTCCTTCTCTCTCTGTGTAACTCTGACTTTCAAATAATAAATAAATAGTTTTTTAAAAAATCAGAGCTGGGACCCAAACATAGGCACCCTGTGTGGGAGATGGGTGTCCCAAGCAGCCTCTTAGCTGTGCTAGTTGCCTGCCCTGGCCGGTCTGGTCTAACCCTCACTGGGTACAGTTCGGGACTGTGAAGCACAGTGGCACTGCTGTGCAGCCATCACCACCAACCAACTCCAGAATTCTCTCTACCTTGCAAAACGGATGCTGTCTTTGGCAGGGGTGGACACAAGGTGGGGATCCTGGACCCACTGGCCTCTGGGAGGGTCTGTGGTTCCAGACCCCCTCTTGGAGGGCTGTACAAGGAGTGGGCAGCCAGCACCCCAGACCCCTGTGCCACACGCTTTTGCAAAGACTGTGTTTGGAACCCTCTGTGCAAACACTCCCACACATCTTTTTATCATCAGACACCGGACAGGAGTCTGGCTGCAGCCAAAGGGTGGGAGACCCGAGCTGCCTGCCCAGTGCTCTGCCCGACCCCTCGCTGCCCTCTGCGTCCCCCTGGAGCCTGTCTAATCAGATCCAGGCCTGACCTCGCCAGAGGTCCTGGGCCGGGAGGAAAGTGTCCCCTCCCCTCCCTGAGCAGCCCTAGATCTGGCTCTCAGGAGACCCCCCCTCCCCTCGGGGTGATTTATAGGGGTGTCCGGAACCGTTTCCTGCCTGTTTCTGCCGCCCCCCTCCCACACCCAGCCCTCCCACAGCCTGGCCGTACCCATGGTGGGGGCAGGGAGGGCTGGGAGATTCCTTCCCAGATCACCTGGGGACAAAGGCGCTTTCTTCCTCTTTCCCACTGTCCCCAAGCAGACACTGTCCTCCCTGTGGCTTTCTGTGGCCTCACACCCGGAGGCCCCCCAACCTCTGCATTACCTCCTCCAGCTTGAAGTGGGGGACCCGAAACTCCCCACCAGGCCAACAGATGTCAGCAGGAGAAAAAAGCTTCAGCAGCCAAAGTCACAGTGTCAGGCCACGTCCACCAACCGTGGACACAAGACCCCCGTCACCGGCCACCACCGGGGTCTCCAGCAGTGACCCATCTATGCTGTCATCAACCGCCCAGTGGCCTCTGGGATGGCGGTTCAGAGGTTCTCAGAGGTGCAGCCCTCAGCTCTGCTCACCCTGGTTTGCCCAGGGACCCTCTCCCCAGAGAGATAGTGGGAGGGACAGTGCCCCAGCTCTGTGGCCCACTAGTGCAGGCCAGGACAAAAGTGAGCCTGTGCCCACCTCACCTTTCACCCGAGGAGACTAGAGGGGGCCAACATGGCCCCAAGATCCTGTCTCCCCTGATTTCCTAAGAAAAAAATGTTGTGACTCGTGAACACGGCATGAGTGGAAGATTTTAAGGGTCCCCACCTGACTGGAGTGCACCTGCCTGGAGATTGGATGTGAATAGGGCCTGTTCATGAGAACAGGGGGCAGCAGAGCAGGGAGGGCCCTGGACCACCTGGCCCAGGCCTTCCTTGATGGCTGAGGGTACTGGTAGCTGAGGAGCTGCACACCAGGGTCTGCAGGAGGGAGGGAAGGAGGAGAGCAAGGGAGAGGGGGTCTTGGACAAAGAGGCCACACCCTCCTATTGCATCCCCCTCCTGGGACCACAGCTATACAGCTGGGCCCCCAGGGTTGGGGTCAGGGGCCATCCTCAAGGCCTGTTACCCTCCCTCCAACACGTGAGAAGAGACTGTTCCGACATGTGGTCCATTTCGGAGTCCTTTGTCCTGAGACTGTTAGAAACACCCCAGCAGGGAGCATAGGCCTCAGTTTCCCCGTCATGTATAAAGGAAGTAGCTTTGGCTTAGTTCTTTGCACACACCTTTTTAAAAAAGGTTTATTAATTTGGGGCCTGTACTGTGGCATAGAAGGTTAAGCCTCTGTCTGCCGCGCTGGCATCCCATATGGGTGCCCACTGGAGTCCAGGCTGCTCCAGAACCAGCTCCCTGCTAATGCACCTGGGGGAGCAGTGGAAGTCGGCCCAAGAGCTTGGGCCCCTGCACCCATATGGGAGACCCAGATGAAGCTCCTAGTTCATTCTCTTTGTATCTCTGACTTTTAAATAATAAATAAATAAGTTTTTTAAAAAAGGTTTAATCAGAGGAAGAAACAGAGAGAGAGAGAGATAGATCCTCCATCCACTGGTTCACTCCCCAAACGGCCATATTGGCCAGGGCTGGACCAGGCTGAAGCCAGGAGCCAAGAGGTTCTTCAGGTCTCCCACGCGGGCACAAAGACCCAAGTACTTGGACCATCTTCTACTGCTTTCCCAGGCACATTAGCAGGGAGCTGGATCAGAAATGGAGCAGCTGGGACTCGAACCAGCATCTATATGGGATGCTGGTGCTACAGACAGCAGCTTAACCTGCTGCGCCACAGTGTCAGTCCCTAACCCACACACTCCTTAAGAACATTGCTTATTTACTTATTTAAAATCCAGAGAGACAGAGACAGAGATCTTTCATCTGCTGGTTCACTTCCCAGATACCCACAATAACCAGGTCTGGGTGAGGCTGAAGGTAGGAGCCAGGCACTCCACCCAGGTTGCCCACGTGGCTGGCAGGGACCCAAGTACCTGAGCCATCACCTGCTGCCTCCCGGTGCGCGTTAGCAGGAAGCTGGAATCAGAAGCAGGGCTGAGACTCAAACCGAGGTGCTTCTATAGGGGCTTGGGCATCCCACCCCTGGTCACCCACCGAGCTACCCTGCAAGTGAAGTGCTTGGCAGAGCGGCGGCAAGTACAGCTGGTAGAGCGGCAGCACAGGGCTGTCCTGATGAAAGGGAAGTGTGGGCAGGCAAGGGCTCAGCTGCGTGTGAGGGACCCCAGGGGACCTGGGACTCCAGCTGGCCACTGCAGAGAGACCGGTTCCTCACCTGTGCTAGCCTTCCTCACCAGTGTCACAGCACATGCAGCCAAGCTATTGTCCTTTAGCGCTTTTTTTTTTTTTTTTTTTGGAGGAGGGGAATAATGGTAGAGGCCACCAGACTTCCTCCATCCTGGGCGCTCTCCCTTGTAGCTTTCTTCAGGCAGGTTCCTAGCTGCAGGCGTCTCCAAGGGACCCAGAATGGGGACTGGAAGCACAAAAGGATTTGGTTCCTTAATGAGGAGGCATCTGTAGTCAGCAGAGCCATTAGTCCCTGCCCAGGTCCCTGGGGGGCTGGCGGCTCCTCTCCAGCTGGAGGGAGGAAGGGACAGGAGGCTCCCCAGCTCCCAAATGGGCAGGGCCGTGCGGGCACAGACAGCTGACCCCAGAACCAGGGTGCCCTCTCCACTCCCCAGCCGGCATCCGGCCCTGTCTTCCTGGGGTTTGGGGCTGTGGAAGGACCCCCAGCGGCACCTCCACCCTCTCCCCTGAGCCCTGGGGCTGACTTGCAGGCCTCTGGCCTGAGACAGGACAGGTGACTTCACAGTGTTCCCTGGGGACCCTCTCATGAAGCCCGATGGGCCCCAGCTGGGACACCAGCCTCCACCTTCCACCCCAGGGCGCTGAGGTACAATGGGACACATGTGATTGATTGCCTACATAGCACCAGAATTACAGCCGTCACGGGGCTGACAGAGTCAAACCCCATCCCCAGCCACGTGGACACTCAGCCCACATACAGAGAGACATAGCCCCGCACGCACGTACAAAGAGACACACACACCCATCAGCCAACTCCCAGGAGACCCTCAGAGAGGAGGAGGCTGGGCGGGGGATTTTTATGCATGTTTATATTTAATGAACCACATGCAAATGAGATGGAGAACATGCCACAAAGGAGCCATCCCGTCCCCCCCTCCAGACCCCTGGGAACAGAATACAAAGGCTGGGCCTTCGGGCTGCCCTGGAGTCCTGAGCAGGCCTGAGACAGGGCGCGCAGGCCACGGGGAGGGCTGCCTGCCCACGCCAGGGCACCCGAGCAGGAGCAGGGCCACACTCCTGTGGGGGAGGGCTCCTCCTGGGAGGGGAGCAACTGTCCCCGCTGATGGAGTGCCCGAGGGGAGGGGCTGCCCGTGTGGACAGATGGCGAACCGCCTCCCCGCACTTGAAGCAAAGTGGATTTTAATGAAATCGCAGCCCTGATGCTGAAGCTGGGAACACGCCTGGGCGAGCCTCCACCCCGGCTTAGGGGTGGGCGGGAACACTTAACCAGCCTAAAGCTGGGGAGGGGGGACCCCAGCCCCTCTGCAGTGCAGATCCCTGAAAGGTGAGGAGGGGGCCCTGAATATTTATGACACATTGAAATGTAGATTGCGGATCTGACAGTCCTCAGAGGCCTGTCACCTCAGAGGGGTACCCCACCCTTTCGGGGGGCGCGTTGAAAAACTGCAGAAGAACGAGGGCTGGAGGGGGAGTGGGGAGGAAGGGATGTGTGCAGCGAGAGCAATGAGGAAGAACAAAAAAAGCCACTGGGGCTCAGTAACCAGGGTGTGACAAGTGGCAGTGTCCCTGCTGGGCAGCATTGGGCTTGATGGCTTGCCCTCTCTGGGTGTCAGCTTGCAGTTCTGTAAAATATGTGGAGTGTGCTCCTCCAGCCCTGTATATATATACATGGCGGGGGTGACAGGATATGGGTTGGCCTTCATGGGTCAGCTCTGGGTTGGGGGGAAACCAGTGCATCCCAGGAAGCTCCTGATAGCCCCGGGGTTTCCTTGTTAGAGATTCGCCTTCCGGAAGTTTGTCCAGATCTTTCTCAGGGTGTCCAAGCCCAGCCTATACCAAGTCCTCGGGGAAGATGCTAAGTACTGATGTGCCTCCCAAAACTGCTGTCCTGCCTCTGCCAGCTGCAGGACCCTGTGCCCCTCGGTGAGGTCATGACTCACCCACACCCCAGCCCACCCGCCCCTCGGCAGTGCACCTGACCCCGCCCACTTCTCCTCCAGCCATGTCGGACTTCCGCGTGCACCCCCAGGCCACCGTGGGAGAGGAAGGCGGCGTGGCCCGCTTCCAGTGCCAAATCCACGGGCTTCCCAAACCCCTGATCACGTGGGAGAAGGACAGAGTCCCCATCGACACGGACAACGAGAGGTTAGTGCCACGCGATACAGAGGCCCACCCATGACTCTGGCCTTGGACAAGGACTGCCTGCGGCTGAGCTCTGGCAGCTGGAGGGGACACTGGTACCCCTGCGGCTGGCTGGGCCCCGGTTCTAGGCTCGTGGATGTGGCTGTGAGGCCCATGTTCCATCTTCGTCAAGGCTGGGATTGAGGGGGCGTCCACCTGCGAGGGTGATAATGACCCCCGATGTTGAGCCAGCACCTCAATCCTGTCTCCGGTGCTGCCCGTGGCTGATGGTGCCCCTGCCCCCGACAGGTACACCTTGCTGCCCAAGGGGGTCCTGCAGATCACAGGACTGCGGGCTGAGGACAGTGGCGTCTTCCACTGTGTGGCCTCCAACATTGCCGGTGTCCGGGTCAGCCACGGGGCCAGGCTCACCGTGTCAGGTGAGTGTCCTTTGCCTCCTGACTCCTCCCGGAACTCCTCCCCCATCACTACCCACCCCACCCCACCCCGCACTTGTCAGCCAAGTGGCTGCCAAGCTCAGTATTGTTGCTGCTGTGGGCTCAGGAGTACTCTAAGGCCCAGCACCAGGCTCAGTCCCACCTGGGACTTCCTCCCGGGGGCTGCCCCAGGGCCAGCGGCAGGGCGCAGATGGAGGCCTGGGTGCTAGGCGTGAACTGGAGCCCTGACGTGTCTCTGCCTCCAGGCCCCAAAACATGGCCACTGTGTGTCCCTGCCCCCACGTGCTGGGCTGTGTGTGGGCGAGGAGGTGGGAAAGGTCCTGGCTGAAGCAGCGAGGAGCAAACCTGGCCTCTTCCTCCCAGGCTCTGGCTCCAGGGCCTACAAGGAGCCGACCATCCTCGTGGGGCCTGAGAACCTCACCCTGACCGTGCACCAGACCGCGGTGCTGGAGTGCGTCGCTACGGGCAACCCGCGCCCCATTGTGTCCTGGAGCCGCCTGGGTGAGCCTCGTGCCCGCTGCCCCTCCCGTCCCTGTCCCACCCCAACAAGGGCCAGTCTGGTCCCCTGCCCGCCCCCTCCCTGGCTCTGGGGGTAGGGGGATCTCGGAGTCCTGTTTGTTCTCTGTGGGCGTCCGTCCCCTCCCTGTGGCTGGGAGGCTGAAGTCCCCCTGCTCAGGCAGGATCGGGGGTCAAATAGGCCTGCCTGCTGCATTCCCCGGCCGCCGCCGAGGCTGGCTTAGCTCCCGGGGTTACCACGTCCAGTGCCCGTGGTCCTCCCTCACCCAGACCCCTCTACAGCCCGCCACACCCCAGCCTCTGTCCCCTCCTGTTCCCAGCTCGGCAGTCCCAGGCCCCTCAACAACCCCATCCAGTTGTCAAAGGCTCAATGTGGGCCCCCCGCCCCCAGTGTAAGTCCCACAGCCTAAATCCCTAGGCAGCTGGAGGAGAGAGATGAAGGGTGCAGATGGGCCCACATTGTCCCCGCGGAAAGGTCACGGGGGAGGGGCACTCCGGAGGGGGTGGGGTGGGGCCGCATTCAGGGGAGACTGTGCCACATTGTAGCAGCCCAGAGACCCGGCAAGGAGGGGGCAGTGCGGGATAATGGAGTAGATTTCACCACTTCAGGGACTGAATGGGGAGCTGTCTCCTTGTGGTCTGACTGCGCTAATCTGATCCTGGAGTGGGGGAGGGTCCTGTCCCTGCCGGAGGCTGGGAAGAAGCTGCCTGACCATTAGGAGGATGCACTGGGCACCGCGGGGACCATCTGGCCCAGCGTCTCCCCAGTCCGATGGGTCAAGGAGGGAGAGAAGGGTTTGGTGGTCTAACAGGTTGGGGAGCCGGAGCTAAGGGATCCTCCGACAGCAGGACTTTAGAGTACGCAGTGTTGTGAGCGACCCAGCCAGAAACTTTAAAACAGAGAGGCAAACCAGGCTGGGCACTGTTGATCAAATCTGCAGTCCCTACTTAACTGATGGAAGGGACTCCAGGGTGATGGGGTCAGAATCAAGGCCAGGGTCTCTGCTGCCTCTTCCATGCCCAGGTCTCAGAGACTGGTGGGAAGGGGCTCTCTGACGCTAGCCCTCCTTCCCCCTCCACAGATGGCCGCCCCATCGGCGTGGAAGGCATCCAGGTGTTGGGCACAGGAAACCTCATCATCTCAGACGTGAGTGTCCAGCACTCGGGCGTCTACGTCTGTGCGGCCAACAGGCCCGGCACCCGGGTGAGGAGAACAGCGCAAGGCCGGCTGGTAGTGCAAGGTATGGGCCGGCCCCCCTCCAGCCCAGGAGGCCAGGGGCTTCCCCACCGCGTCCTTCCCTGCCTCCGCAGCGGCCCTGGCCCAAGCCCAAGCCCAAGCCCAGAGCCCTGTGTCACCGCCAGTTCCCTTCCTCGCTCTGGCCCTGTGCCTGGCTGGGCCCAGGTGGAGTCTCGCCCCTGGGGAGTGGAGGATGTTCCTGATCCTGTACAGGCCCACGTGCCCGCCACGGGCTGTTGCCACCCCTCCGCTTTCCCAGGAGTAATTCCCACTTTCTGGCTTTTTGTTTGTTTTGCTTCTGAGAGGCAGAGAGACAGAAAACTCCCATCCACTGGTTCACTCCCCAAATGCCCACAGTGGCTGGGGCTGGGCCAGGCCAGGGCCAGAGCTGGGAACTCAATCCCGGTCTCCCATGTAAGTGGTAAGGACACAATTACTTGAGGTGCACATCAGCGGGAAGTGGGAACCAGGAGCGGGAGCCAGGACTCGAGCCCAGGCACTCCAGTGTGGGACACAAGGGTGCTTCACCAGTAGGCTCGATGCCCACCCCTGCTCCTACTGGCTGTCAGCTCCCTGCCCTCTGTGGTCACACGAGTCTCTCCCCCATGCACACGTGTGGGACTTCCACACTCACACATGCCTGCCTGTACACACGCAGCATGCTAGATATTCTCACGCTGTCACACCCAGCCCTGGCCGGCCTCTGCTCTCCCAGCTCAGGGCTCTGGCAGCTGGCCGGGACATTGCACACAGTCCATCCAGCCTTCGGCCGCGGGGTTCAGCTGGCCCCACGAACTGGGCTTGGGTTTTTCTTTCCAGGCCCTTCTGTGGTTGTTCCTTCCCCTAGAGCAGGAGCTGGGGGAATTGGCTCAGTATTCCACGCGGCGCTAATGAGCAAGATGAAGCATTGCGTTTGTCCAGTGCTGATGGGGCTTCAGGCCAGGGATTGAGCGAGGGGCTCAGGGCCACTGCTACGGGCGCATCCATCTCCCCGTCATTACCACCTAGGGTGCAGCCAACCCTATTAGCACATTTATTTATGTAACGATTTCCTGAGGAGGGAGCTCAGCTTGATTGCTTTCGGATACAGATGTCAGTCTTTTAAACAGTCATTACGATGGAGCCCTCTCTTGGGTCTGCCTGTGCTGGAGGCAGCAGGGAGGCGAACTCCCTTCCGGGCACGGGCCCAGGTGGAGGCTGGGCCCCACCTGGAGGAGACTCAGGGGTGAAGGTGTGCTCAGATCCCTCTCCACCTGGCCTCACCGTGCCATGTGCGCCTCTGTTCCCCTCCCCCCAGCCCCAGCAGAGTTTGTGCAGCATCCACAGTCCATCTCCAGGCCGGCCGGGACCACGGCCATGTTCACGTGCCAGGCCCAGGGGGAGCCCCCCCCTCACGTTACCTGGTTGAAGAACGGACAGGTGCTGGGGCCAGGGGGGCATGTCCGGCTCAAGAATAACAACAGGTACGAGTGTGATGGCGCTGGGGGAGAAGCGGGGGAGGGGGCCTGGACTTTGTGGCCTGAGTCTCCTGCCCAGGAAGTGCCTTGGATCCGGAGGAGGCTGGGGACTCAGTGTGAGTCTCGGGTCTGCCGCTGCCTTGCTGGGAGACCTGTGACAGGTCATGACGGGCAGAGGCGGCCAGGGACCCTTTGCGAGGACAGGGACCTGAGGCTCGCCCTGCCCCCCGCAGCACCCTGACTATCTCTGGAGTCGGGCCTGAAGATGAGGCCATCTATCAATGCGTGGCCGAGAACAGCGCGGGCTCCTCGCAGGCCAGCGCCCGGCTGACCGTGCTGTGGGCCGAGGGGCTGCCCGGGCCCCCCCGCAACGTGCAGGCGGCCTCCGTGTCATCCACTGAGGTCCGTGTGTCCTGGAGCGAGCCCCTGGCCAACACCAAGGACATCATCGGCTACGTCCTGCACATCAGAAAGGCTGCCGGTGGGTGTGGGCGGGAGGGCAAGACTGGCTCCGCCCACTGCCCCCTTAGTCATCCTTTCTCCTCCCTGGAGACCCCCACATGTCCTGACCCAACTCCTGCTCCACCTCCCCCTGCACCCGGGCTGCCCTCCCTCCTCCTACCCTTCACCCTCCCCTATGTGCCACCCTCCAGACCCACCGGAGCTGGAGTACCAGGAAGCAGTGAGCAAGAGCACCCTGCAGCACGTGGTCAGCGACCTGGAGCCCTCCACAGCCTACAGCTTCTACATCAAGGCCTACACGCCCAGGGGGGCCAGCTTGGCCTCCATCCCCGCCGTGGCCAGCACCCGGGGTGAAGGTGAGACCAGGGCGTGGAGTACAAACCCGAGATGCCAGAGTATCCGAGCACATGCCCTGGGCTGGTTCTGCTTGCTCCTGTCCAGCCCCTGGGAGGTGCTGTCTGCGCAAGCCCAGAGGGAAGTGGCCCCCAGCTCACAGGGTTGGAGAATGGACAGGGGCTGGGGCCAGGCTCAAGAGGCCCAGGTCAAGGTGGCAGATAGGGTTTCAGAGTGGGTGTTTGGTGGAGGCAGTGGTCAAGTTGCCAGCTAGGATGCCTGCATCCCATATCCACGTACCTGGGTTCGAGTCCCGGCTCTGTTTCCGGTTCCAGCCTTCCTGCTGATACACAGCATCAGAGACAGCAGGTGATGGCTCAAGTACTCGGGTCCCTGCCACCCACCCCGGGAGACCCCTGAGTGAGTTCACCAGCTCCTGGCTTCAGTCTGGCCCTGGCGGCTGCTGCTGGTATCTGGGAAGTGAATCAGCAGATGGCAGCTCTCTCTCTCTGCCTTTCCAATGAAATGAGAGCTATAAATAATTAATTAACAAGAGTTTCACCTGAGCCCTCCTTCTCCCCTCCCCTCCCCTCGCCCCCCGCAGCCCCCACCTCACCCCTGCTGTCGGTGCGGGTCCTGGGCAGCACCTCCCTGCAGCTGCTGTGGGAGCCCTGGCCCCGGCTGGCGCAGCATGAGGGCGGCTTCAAGCTGTTCTACCGCCCAGCGAGCAAGGCCTCGTTCACCGGCCCCATCCTGCTGCCCGGAACTGTCTCCTCCTACAACCTCAGCCGGCTCGGTGAGGCGGACACAGCCAGGGCCGTGGGGGTCCGGGCGGGCGCTGTGCCCGGGGCCAGGAGGTGGCTGGCGGGGGTCCCCTCCCCTGCCCCACCGGCACAGGGGCAGTCACCGGGCGCCTCTGCTTCCCCCAGACCCCTCCGCGGTGTACGAGGTGAAGCTACTTGCCTATAACGAGCATGGGGACAGCAACGCCACCATCCGCCTAGTGTCCCTGAGGGGCGCGACTGAGAGGGCCAGTGAGTGGCGGGGATGGGCTGTGGTCTGAGGAAGGGAGGCCGGGGGGAGCGGGGAAGGAGCCGGAGCAGCGTCCGGAGCCCTCGAGAACATGAGCTTCGAGCTGTCTGAAGCATGGCTGTGCGGCACGCTTGCTGTGTGAACTCAGGCTAATTACTTAATCTCTCTGAGCCTGCTGTTTTGTCCCTTAAGATTTATTTTATTTATTTGAAAGGCAGAGTTACAGACAGAAAGACAGAGAGAGAGAAAGAGAGGGATCTTCCATCTGTTGGTTCATTCCCCTAAATGGCCAGGCCAAAGCCAGGAGCCAGGAGCTCCTTCCAGGTCTCCCACGTGGGTGGCAGGGGCCCAAGTACCTGGACCATCTTCTGCTGTTTTCCCAGGTGCGTTGGCAGGGAGTTGGATCAGAAGTGGAGCAGCCGAGACTCATATGGGATGCCGGCATCACAGGTGGCAGCTTAACCTGCTACGCCACAGTGCCGGCCCCCAAGCCCCGGTCTACTCCTCTGTGATCCTGCTTTAGCAATCTGTGGCAAGCAGAAAGTGGGCCATGTCCAGTGCCCCTCCCAGCATCTGGCGTAAACATGATATTCAGTGACCAACCGGTCAACAGGATGGAGAAGGGTGGGCTGAGTCCCCCACACACTTGGGGGTGGCAGTGGCTGAGGGAGGGGTCCCCAGAGGCTGGGGGTCTGGGGGTGCTTCGGACCAGGAGAGCCGCAGCCCCAGCTTGCCCCTGCCCACAGTCCTGAGCCCACCCTGCGACTGCCGGAAGGAGGAAGCTGCCAACCAGACATCCACGGCCGGCATCGTGGTCGGCATCCACATCGGGGTCACCTGCATCATCTTCTGTGTCCTCTTCCTCCTGTTTGGCCAAAGGGGCAGGTGCGTCCTGGGCCAGGGATGGGGGCGGGGCATCCCTGCAGGGGAAGGAGGGCTTGGGGGCCCCCAGCTCCCCCATCTTGCTCCCTTCCAGAACTCTCCGCCTGACTCTCTGCTTAACCCTTCAGAGTGCTCTTGTGTAAGGACGTGGAAAACCAGCTCTCCCCTCCTCAGGGCCCCCGGAGCCACAGGGACCCCAGCATCCTGGCCCTGAATGGGATGGGGCCAGGAGAGCAGGAGGAGAAACGCGGCGTGGGCTGCGTGGACGTGAAGGAGCTGGAGCAGCTGTTCCCCTTGGCGGGGGCGGCAGAACAACCCAAACCCAGGCCCACAGTGAGTGCCCGGGACCCGCCTGCTCCGCCTCCCATCCCGCCCTCTCCTGGCCTTGGCCGCCAGCCTTAGCCAAGCTCCAGGTCACTCTGTGGCCCTGGGCAGGCGCAGTGGCGGGCTGGAGGCTCCCAGCCCTGCAGCTCTGGGCTGACAGCCGTGCGCCTGCCTCTCCCCAGCAGGATCCCGCAGGTCCCGCTCCGTGTGACGAGACCCAGCGCGCCGTGGTGCCACTGCAGGGCTTCAGCCTTCTGGAGGGGAGGACCCCAGAGGCCAAGGCCAAGGGCCCCTGTGCAGCCCCCGGCCTGGTCAGCGAGGCACCAGCTGCGCAGTCCGCTTGCATGGGCCAGTAGCCAGTGTGTGGCAGGCGTGGCGGCGGCAGCCCCCCAATCTCAGGTCAAAGCAAGATTTCTCCTGTCCTGTGGGGTCCGGGGTGGGGGTGGGGGGCCCGGGCTGCCCCACATTTTCATCCTGACTGCCCCTGGGCTTGTCAAGACCTGCAGCAGGCACGGCAAAGACCTCCCCAGGGAGCCGGCAGGGTGGAGGGAGGCAAGCCCGTCACCCACCTGGCAGAGAAAAGAGCGAGCGAGCAAGCGAGGAGTGACCCAGACTTCAGGCCCGCAGCCCCACTGGGGAGCCCCCCCAGCACTGCCTGCAGCCTGCTTGTTCCTCAGGACGGAATTTGCTATGTGCGTCCAGCACCTACCTCAGCCGGAATGAATGTCCTTGGGTGGGGGTGGGGCCCTGGCCTCACCCCTACAACCCATGTGCACTCCTACCTCAGCCCGCCACGGGCCTCCCTCCCCCCTACAACCTTGTTGTCCAGAGTTGAAGAAAGAAAAAGACAAAAAAAAAAAAAAAAAAAAAGAAAAGAAAAGAAAAGAAAAGAAAAAGGCACGTCCCATTTCTAGGTGTGAGAGAAGACAGCTACCTCAAGGCTCGGGTGCTGCTACTGGACCCTCCCTCTGCAGTCCCAGCTGTGCCCCCCACCCCAGAAAGGCTCAGGCCAGAGGACAGGGGCGACCTCTGGGGCCCACAGAAATGAAGATGGAATTGGTCAGAGAAAATGTGAAAAAAAAAAAAAAGCCAAAAATTAGAGGAAAGGTGTTCCTGGAAGAAGTAGAAATTGTCCCAGTTGGCCATGCCCCAGCCTGCCGCCCATGCCCCATCTCCGATGGTCCAGTCTGCTCAGACCCCACCCTGCCCACCTGGGCCTGGGAGTGAGGACATCAGCTGCGGCCTGCCTCCTGTCCCGCCCAGAGGCAGGGCCTGTGGAAGGTGCCGCACGGGTGACAAGTGGCAGGTGGCAGGTGCACGTGTGGGCGGTGTCCTCCGTCTCATGGGACACAGCCGGCCTGGCCCAGCCCTTGGACAGCCACTGAGCTATTTTTTTATACAAGGTGTGTTTAGGGTTACTACGTCCTGTGACTTTTTCTCTTTTTCTGTTATGTTGCTCTCCGAACTACTTAATTAAAGAATGGAAGAAAAAAAAAAAAACAAGGAGACAAATACCTATTTTTGGTTATACTCAGAGGCATTTTTTTAAATAGCAGAAGGAAAAACTTTTTTTTTTTTTTAAGAAAATAAAAGCTAAGTGTATTCCTTAAGATTGAGATTAGAATGTAAAGCCCCGCCCACCACCCTCCGGAGCAGCCCGAGGTCGGAAGTTGTGCTGTTTTCCTAGGGAGCTGGAGCCGGGCCTTGTGGACCCCGCACGGCCGACTCGCTTCTTCTCCCAGGTGATGGCTGGACGCCGAGGGCCTCCTCCCCCTGGGGGTGGGGACTTGGGGGCCACCTGGCCTCTCTTGGGTTTTGTCACACTCATTTTGACTGAATAAAAGTCATGTTGCCAAAGTGAATCTCGAGTCGTGTTTTGGTGGCTACATCAGGGACGGGCAGACGGAGCTGATGACCACAGACCCCTGTGACACCCCCATCAGGCCCCGTGCTGGTCTCCACCTGTGGCCAGCTCCTGGGTCCCTGTACCTCACCATGAGGTTGCTATAGACAGTGAAACCGAAACAGAGAGTCAAGGGCAAGTCCAGGGTCTCCCAGGGCCAGGCAGTGGCTACGTCCAGCCCAAGCTGCCCAGACCTTGTGTCTACGTCTGGACCCCTCCCTGTACCCCATAAGCAGGCCCTGAGTCACCAGCGTCGATCCCTGGCTGGGTGCTGGCAGTGTGGGGCTTGGCGCTTCTGCGCTATGAGGAAGCGACTCTTCCCAGGACACAGAGCCAGGACCCCGGCCAGGCCTCTCCATGCTCACGCTGTCCTCGGGCCAGGGGCGTGGGGCTGCAGAGGTGGACGACAGGCCAGCAGAGGCTTTGTGGCAGGCGTGTTGACAAGGATCTGGGGGTCTCAGCGGGCCTCAGGCTGGGTCAGGTGCAGCGTCGTGGAGGCTGGGAGCCAGGCCCGCTCCGGGGAGGCTCTGTGGGTCTGGAGGCCCAGGTCCCGCACCCAGAGGCTCCTTTGAAGAGGAACAGACCAGGGCAATGGTTTTTTTTTTTTTTTTTTAAATTTTTATTTGATAGGTAGAGTTATAGACAGTGAGAGAGAGAGACGGGGAGAAAGGTCTTCCTTCCATTGGTTCACTCCCCAAATGGCTGCTGTGGCCAGCGCGCTGCGCTGATCCAAAGCCAGGAGCCAGGTGCTTCTCCTGGTCTCCCATGTGGGTGCAGGGCCCAAGGACTCGGGCCATCCTCCACTGCCCTCCTGGGCCACAGCAGAGAGCTGGACTGGAAGAGGGGCAACCGGGACTAGAACCCAGCGCCCATATGGGATGCCAGCACCGCAAGGCGGAGGATTAACCAAGTGAGCCACGGCGCCGGCCCCCAGGGCAATGGTTTGTGAGCTGGACCCTGGGCTGCAGTGGGGCGGGGAGGGGCACCCATCCTCACCCCCTAGCTGCACACTTTCCACCTTGCATGGTTTCATTTGGAAATGGGACTCTACTCCTGAAAGAGCGTGTTTGAAAGCCCCTGTGGGCTGGCCAGGGAGGTGAAGCCTGAGGCCCACATCGGGGCGGGGACGATGCCCTGCCTTGAGTACCCCATAGGAGAGGAGAGGACGGGCCCTGATGCAGACCTGAGGCCCCGCCTTTCCTTCCCCAGCTGCACGCGTAAGAGCTCCTCAGCAGGCAGGTGTCCGTCCTGGGGGTGGGGGGGGGAGGCTCCAGCAGAGCCGTGGGGGTGGGAGAGAGCACCAGCCACCTCCAGGGCCCCGCCCCCCTCAGAATCCACGATGCTACCCCAGGAAGGCACCTGGGGACAAGTAGGATCCAGGTGTGTGTATGCACGTGGCACTCACTCCACACACAGGTGCAGGGAGGGCCTGTTCTAATCTCACCAGGGCCCTGATGAGCAAGGTTAGCAGCCACAGGCGTCAGAGTGGCACAGCTGGAGCCCGGGCCTCAGGCTGAACCCCTCCTCCGGCTACCTCCCCCCTCCTCAGGGCCACCTCCCTCTCCTCGGGACCAAGTCAGCCCCAAGAAGAGGGCTTGTAGCCCCCTGCAAAGACCGGAAGCTTTGCAGGGAACCACTGCCAACCTTGGTGGCTGAACTTGACAATGGCTTTGCTCACAAGTCTGCCTTCTGGGTAGGGCTCATTGGGGCAGCTGCGTCTGCTCCGCGTGGCGTTGCTGGGGCTGCAGCAGCTGAGGGCTCCCCCACGTCCATGGCTGGTGGCTGGACCTAAGCCGGAGCTGTCACCTCCAGCAATCACACGTGGCCTCTCTGTGTGACCTGGGCTTCCTCACAGCACAGTGGCTGGGTTCTAAGGAGAAGTGTCCTGGGGTGGGGGTGGGGGTCGGAGAGCCAGGCAGAGATAGAATCATTGTCATTTCTAACCTAGCCCTAGCAATACAGCATTGCTCCAGCCAGGCTCTGTTCATCACAGCAAGTCACTAAGGCCAGCCACATTCAGAAATTTGGGGGACAATCACCCTGTTAAAAAAAACACATTTATTGTCTGGTGCCGCGGCTTATTTGGCTAGCCCTCTGCCTGTGGTGCCGGCACCCTGGGTTCTAGTCCCACTTGGGGCACCGGATTCTGTCCCGGCTGTTCCTCTTCCAGTCCAGCTCTCTGCTGTGGCCCTGGAAGGCAGTGGAGGATGGCCCAAGTGCTTGGGCCCTGCACCCACATAGGAGACCAGAAGGAAGCACCTGGCTCCTGGCTTCAGGTCAGCACAGCTCTGGTCATAGCAGCCATTTGGGGAGTGAACCAATGGAAGGAAGACCTTTCTCTCTCTCTCTCTCTGACTGTCTAACTCTGCCTGTAAAACAAAACAAAACAAAACAAAACAAAAACAAACAAAAAAACCACATTTATTTGCTTATGTATTTGAAAGACAGAATGACAAAGAGAGATCTTCCATCCTCTGGTTCACTCCCCAAATGTCCACAACAGCCAAGGCTGGGCCAGGCTGAAGCCAAGAGCCAGGAATTCCATCCAGGTCTCCCACGTGGGTGGCAGGGGTCCAAGTACTTGCGCCATCATCTGCAGCCTTCCCAGGCGCATTATCAGAGTTGGATCAGAAGAGAGCAGCTGGGAATTGAGCCCGAACCCATATGAGATGCCGGCATTGCAAGCAGTGGCATAACCCGCAGCACCACAACACCAGCCCCTCAGCGCCGCCCTCTGAGGGGAAGAGAGACAAAGAATGTGTAGACCTGTTTTCAAACCATCATGGGCCACTCAGGAGGCATGGGGGACCAAGTGTGAGTTGGGAGGAGGCAGGGAGGGCAGAAAGCTCCCCCAGAGTCCCTGGGATCCTCCTGGGGGTGCAGCTGAAGGGCCTTCATGGCTGCGGGAGACAGGGCGAGCCCCCGACTCCTACACGGGCCTTGCGTGCAGGCAGCACCCCCACATTACTGAAGCTCTTTCTGGGGTCCAGCTCTGAGGCCGCGGGGAGGGGCCGGGCCCCTGTGGGCCCTGGGAAGGAGGCTTTCTGCTGCCTGCTCCCTCCCCCCTCCCCTTGTGTATGAGCCGGGAGGTACAAGTGGCCTGAGATCCTGCCTGCCCGGAGCCCGGAGTGTTTGGCCCAGAGTGGCCACTGTCCCTCATGAGACAGATGGGGCCACTGAGGGCCCACGCGGGGCCGGGTGGCAGGACCCCAGGCAGCCCCACTGCCCACCCCTGCCTGCCTGTGGCCACGGCCAACCCTAGTACCAGGGCCCAGGGGAGGGGGACGAGAGGGGGAGGGGTAACTCCACTCCTGATTCCAGCTTCCTGATAACCCCCACCCCGGTGGGCAGCAGGTGATGGCTTAAGCACTTGGGTCCCTGCCACCTACATGGGAGATCTGGGTTGAGTTCTCAGCTCCTGGCTTGGGACTGGCCCTGGCTGTTGCAGGCATTTAGGATGTGAATCAGTAGATGGGAGATCTTTATCTGCCTGTCTTTGTCTCTCTGCCCTTCAAACAAATGAACTTTTGTATAAATAAAAAGGTGAAATTGGAGGGATGCCTGCCCTGACCTGGCCTCCCTGGCTTGGAGGGAACTGTGGAGTCCCTACTGGGCAGCCTTGGGGCACAGAGCACCTGGGAGACGGGCTATAATTGGAGGGGTTTGCTGCCACCCTGTGGTGTCAGTGAGTATTACAGCATGGGGACCCAGACTGAACCTAGCAGTTAAGAAGGCTCAGGCCCACACAGGAGAGACCCAGCCCTGAGTGCTGCCACGCTACAGCCCTGCATACAAATAACTGCGGCCTACCTTGATGCTTACTTATGTAAGTGCCAGCATCAAGCTGTAGAAAGAGACAAATGTGACTGCTGATGTACTAGGGTGAGGAAGGAGTAGAAAAAGGGAAAAGGTACGGACCAGCGCTGTAGCGCAGCGGGTTAAAGCCCCCATCTGCATCCCATGCGGACGCCGGTTCGAGTCCCGGTTGTTCCACTTCTAATCCAGCATCTCTGTGATGGCCTGGGAAAGCAGTAGAAGATGGCCCAGGTCCTTGGCCCCTGCACCCACATGGGAGACCTGGAAGAAGCTCCTGGCTCCTGGCTTCAGATCAGCACAGCCCTGACTGTTGACCAACAGATGAAAAATCTCTCTGTCTCTCTCTGCCATGCTGCAATTCAAATAAATAAATAAATCTTTTATTTACGTGTGTGTGTGTGTGTATGCCCCCAAATTAACTAAATTTTAAAAATTAAAATCATGGAGCAATAAAAAATGGCACCATGATGAAATGGTCATGCAATAGAAAAAAACATACATAAACATACTTAACATGAAGACTTTTTTATTTTTATTTCTAAAAAATATTTGTTTACTTGAAAGGCAATTGCAGAGAGAGACAGAGACGGAGAGGGAGAGGGGGAGGGACAGAGAGAGAGAGAGAGAGATCTATTTTCTGGAATACATCATGATGCTTCAAGGCTCCCAGTCCTGACTTTGGTCAGGAATGGGGGGGGGGAGCTCCCAGAGAGAAGGGGGGTGTCTGAGAGAACAAGCCCAGGTTGAAGACAGAGGAGGGGGGAGGGGGACAGAATTTCAACCTGGAAGCAACCCAAGCCTCTGGAGATGGCGTCAGGTCTGAGTCACGAGAGCGAGAGCACTTCCCCTGGGACACCGAGACTGGTGCTGGCGCCCCCCCGAGGACGTGGAGATGGTGATCCTGGCCACCTCAGTGGCTGCGGGGGCAGATGGGACCGCCGGGGAGCGGCACGTAGCCCGCAAGGAGGGCTGGCGGCAGCACCCCCGGGGTCCCCGCGGGAGACGCGCTCCCCCACCCCCACCCCAGCTCCACGGCCCAGGGGCTCCCGGCAGATTTTCCTGCCGGGACACATGGCCCAGGTCCCCTTTGTTGGTTTCCAGCAAATTAAAATTTATCTCTCAGGGAGGAAATGAGGGGTCAGG